GATAGCTTGAAGGCTGCCACCCTGCTGTGTGTTTGTGGTCAAGACGCCTTCGAAATCGCGGAGAACCTTGCAGCACCTGTTCCATTAGAGTCTGTCAGCTATGCAGATCTAAAGAAGCTACTGAAGGAGCACTTCCAGCCTAAGATCTCCGTCATCGCATGGCGCCACACCTTCGAGCAGAGGGATCAACGACCCGGAAAATCGGCCAAAGAGTACATCGCCGCATTGAGGAAGGCCGCCAAGCACTGCGAATTCAAGGACCTCGAAGAACGACTGAGGGACCGATTTGTGTGCGGGCTAAGGCATCGAGAGCTACAACAGAGGCTTTTTGCCAAAGAGGACTTGTCCTTCCAAGATGCCTTGAGAGAGGTCACCGCAGAAGAAGCAGCGGGCGGCGCCATCAAGAACATGCGGCTGATCAGGAACAGTCCAGATACTGCCTCCGTGCACCAGGAAGAAGTCCAAGGGAACTCCGAGGAGGATCCGGAGGAGGAAGTCGACCGTCTCCACCCCACAAAGGAAGGGAAACAGAAAGGAAGCTCTTCAGCTCTTCCCAAGTGCATCGGCTGTGGAGGTCGCCACAGAAGAACCGACTGCAAATTCCACTCCGCTATCTGCAGGGCGTGCGGAAAACAAGGACACATTGCAGCTGTGTGCATGGGCCGACAAAAGGTACAACCTCAGGAAGAATTGCACCTGAAAGGTACCAGGGTTCCCAGCCAGAATAGGGTGGGGTTTTGCGCTTCGCGAAGAAGCATCTTTAGGACAGGCACACACAAGCCCATTAAGAAAAAGCTGTCACTCAAGGTGAAGCTACAAGGGGTTCCATTAACTATGGAACTAGACACGGGGTCTGCACTTTCAATCATCTCTTTACATACATTTAGGAAGATTTGCTCCGGCAGTGAAACTCAGGCCAAGTTAAGGCCTTCTGACATTGTGCTAACAGACTTTCAAAATTCGAGAGTGTGTGTTAAGGGGGAGGCCACCCTTAACGTACAGTATAAGAATTTTGAAGGTCCACTAGACCTATTAGTAGTAGGGGGGTGAACGAACGAGTCTCATAGGACTCGATTGGTTTGAGGCCTTGGGGATACACGTCACGGGGCTCAACAGCCTACAAACACTTGACCTACAGGAAGTCTGCAAAGAATTTGCAGACGTTTTCAGCCCCCAGCTGGGCACATTCAAAGGACCCCTGTGTCCTTAAAACTAGACCCCACTGTCACTCCCATTAGAATTAAAGCAAGAAGGGTCCCTTTTGCTTTAAAGAGTAAAATTGACACTGAGTTGGACAAGCTAATCCAACAGGAAATTCTAGAACCTGTTGGCCTGTTGATGATGATGCTGCTATAGCTCAGACTATTGTGACCTACAGAGGGGCCTTTAAGGTAAAAAGGCTACAATTTGGAGTAAATGTCACTCCTGGGATTTTTCAAAGCGTTATGGAAAACACACTACGGGGTATACCAGGGGTGTGCCCCTACTTTGATGATGTCTTAATTACAGGAGACTCTACACACATTTTGGCTGAAAGGCTAAGGGCTGTTCTGTTAAGGTTCAGGAAAACAGGCCTCAAGCTTAAGAAGGACAAATGCAAAATTGGGGTGCCTTCTACTGAATTTTTGGGGTTCAAAATTGATGCTGCTGGGATTCACCCTGCTGAATCTAAACTAAAAGCCATTTTAGAAGCACCTAGGCCAAAGTCTAAGGCCGAACGTCAGGACTTTCTTGGCCTCCTGAACTTTTATAATTCTTTTCTTCCACATAAAGCTAGTGTAGCTGAGCCTCTTCACAGGCTATTGAATAAACAAGCAGTGTGGCAGTGGTCACAAACTCATGAGGCTAGTTTCAATGAGGTCAAGGCCTTACTCACTTCCAACAGTGTACTTGCACACTTCAATGAGTCCCTTCCTGTGTGCATCGCTTGTGATGCTTCCCCTTACGGGGTAGGAGCTGTCCTGAGCCACCTCAGGTCTGATGGAACTCAGGTTCCTGTTGCGTATTACTCCAGAACATTGTCATCTGCTGAGCGTAAGTACGCTCAAATAGACAGGGAGGCTTTAGCTGTTGTTGCTGGAATTAAAAAATTCCATGATTTGTTATATGGCAGGCATTTCACGGTCTTCACTGACCATAAGCCTCTGCTGGGACTGTTTACCACACGTAAGCAAACCCCCCAAATCATCTCCCCCAGAATGCTCAGGTGGTCTATTTTTTTGTCTGCATATGATTTCTCCCTGCTTCACAAGCCAGGGAAGGAAATGGGCCATGCTGATGGCCTCAGTAGATTGCCCCTGCCGGTAATAGAAGCTGACCCTGCACCAGCTATCAACATTCTATCCATCCAAGCCTTGCCAGAGTCCCCTCTGAACGCCAGGGATGTAGCCGCTGAATCGGGCACAGATCACACACTTTCACGTGTCCTTTCTTGGGTTTTGTCTGGATGGCCCGAGCACTGCCCTAGTCCTGAGTTTCAGGGTTTCTGGTCTAAAAGGAACGAGTTGTCCACCTCTCAGGGTTGTCTGCTTTGGGGAAGCAGAGTTGTCATTCCCACCTCAATGAGGACTAGGATCTTAGGGTCCCTCCACGAGGGTCATCCTGGCATTGTTCGAATGAAGGTCCTTGCGCGCAGCCACTTGTGGTGGCCTGGCCTAGACAAGGACATTGAGGCTAAGGTGCATGCATGCCACCTTTGCCAACGCTCTCGCCCAGAGATGCCCCAAGCTCCTGTGCATAGATGGGAGGAAACACAGTCCCCATGGTCTAGGGTGCACATTGACTACTGCTGGGCCCTTTCAGGGTCAATTCTTCTTGGTCCTTGTTGATAGCCATTCAAAATGGCTTGAGGTTGTACCTGTCTCATCCACCACCACTGCAAAGACTATTCAGGTACTGAGGGGGATTTTTGCTGCACACGGGCTCCCTGACGTCATTGTGTCTGACAACGGCCCTCAATTTACTTCCTCCGAATTCCAAGCTTTCTTGCAGGCTAACATGATTCGTCATGCCACCTCTGCACCCTTCCACCCGTCCATCAACGGTATGGCTGAACACATGGTCCGCATCACCAAGGACGCCTTAAAGAAACTCACCTACGGGGACTGGCATAACAGGTTGGCTGACTTCCTCCTTTCTTATCGCACCACACCATCCACTTCTACAGGAAGAAGCCCAGCTGAACTTCGCTGGGGGCGCAAACTGACCACCAAGCTTGACCGGTTGCATCCGGACAGACTGCCTTCATCTACCTCACACCCCAGGGCACCTAGACACCTACTTGTGGGTGCCCCAGTTTGGACTCGTAATTACGGGCCTGGTCATACATGGGTCCCCACTTCTATATCCAGGGTCACAGGTCCTCTGTCTTACGAGGTCTCCCTGGACAACGGTCGTGTCCTGCGTCGACACATTGACCAACTCCGCCCTAGGCAGGACCTTCCCGCTGAGACTCCTGGGTCTTTTCCAGGGGGGAGGGGGATCCCTTTGGGCAAAGGGAAGGGCACGGGCTGCTGTCCATCAACAATGAAGGAGCCTCAAACGGCCCATTCCAAGATTCCGCGAGTGCTCCAAACAGGAATTCTAGGAGCTCATCCAGTCATCAGGCATTCACGCCTACTCCAGCCAGGGAGTCACCCCGGGGGCACAATCACTATTCACCCGCACCACTCAGTACTCCAGTCAGGGAAGATACCCGGGAGCATCCCAATAAACCATACCCCGCAAGAGAGCTGGCACATAATTCCCAGAGTTGGCCTGACCTTACCCCTAGTCCTACAAGGGGGCAAACATACAGGGAGGTGGTCGAGGAACCAAATCCCAACTACAACACCTCTGGCCCAAATCAGGGAGTAACTGAGTTTTGGGAAAGTACAGAAACCCACACAAGCCCGGACACAGAACGGGATTCGGGGAATGGACAGCCTCCTGACAGGTCTTGGACGGACCTAGGAGGTTCTACAGAGACGCCCAACAGTGACCGTCACTTAGAAGGGCCAGAGAGCCTACAGTTAGGCGGGTCAACCAGGTCACAAAGTGAAAGAAGTCCTGGCCTGACGAGCCCGGTGGGCAAGCAAACAGGCCAGGCATTGAGGCACAGTCCTTGGGAGGCACCAAGGCATGATAAGGGGAACAGGCACACGTCACCCTCAGTCAGGGGGCACCTGCCAGACCCCAGAGCTTAGGAGGTCACAGAGAGCAAGGAAATTTCCTAAGTACTTAGAGGATTACATAACACTACCGGCTAAACAGAGTCAGTAGAAGGGTAGGAACACTGGGGGAGTAGAGCACTGCATTAAGAAAATGGGTTGTTTATTATTATGGCATTGGTGGTAGTTTTGGCCCGGGGGAAAGGGGTGTTATGTCCTGAGCCTTGCAAGCAGGCTCGGGGCATTTGCAGGCGGTCCCGGGCAGGTGCAAGCTGCCCGGGACCAGACAGGCTGTCGCCAGCGCTTGTGCGCATGCGCGGGTGCTGGCGCGCGAAAAGTAACACATTGACCCGGGAAAGGCCTATATAAGAGGCCGAGAGTTTTGGGCGTTGCCGGAGTATTCGATCTGTAAGCTGAATGAAGAATAAAGCAAATCTGAGAACTACAACTGCTTCTCGTGTCTTGCTATTTCGCGAGGAATGCAACAGAAAGGATCTGTCTATAGACTGAATATAAAACTGACTAGTAAAGTGGTTTGATCATTCAAAGAAAATAACATTTCCCTAAAATTGATCACACAAGTTGAGACACCTGATCCCTAATATTATAAGCCATAACCAAAAACATGACAAAAATATTGTTAAACAACAAGAATAAAACAGAATATCCATCTTTGTACCATTGGCAATACAACTGTGCATAATCCACTCTTTCAACCATCCCATCTGACCAGGTACTCATGCAACTCTCTCCTCCATTACAGTAGAAGACAAGTCCTAGAAGAGACCAGGATGTCTTAAGAACTGCAAGACTAGATTTTGCCAGTACCAATGTTTTATTATGTTTCCCACACAAACAGCATTTTATGCCCTGGCTTCAACGAAGAGAGAAAAGATTTGTGCAATTGCCCAGCAAACTGCAGACATGCTGCAGCTGCTTCAAGCAAGGCTTTCAGAGGTGCTGGGCGGGAATACACATACTGGGAAAGGAGTAGAGCAGCTGGAGGCAATATGTTTGCAGCAGCTTGTAAACTTCAGATTAGTCTGGAGAGATAGCCGCAGGTGGGTGGAGGAAGACAACAGAACATGATTTATGGAAGCAGAAGAAAAAAACACGAATGAACATGACAGCTGACGAGCTGCTGAGGAGGTGTAATCGGAGTAGACAGTCTGTAATCCAACTGCCATACAATAAATTGAAAAGAAGCAAGGGGCAAGACAGAGCATGATGGCTGAGGTCAGACAAAGCAGGGAACAAGAACAGGTATCCACAAGGCCAGCTGCAAATTTTGCTCCCAACAATGCTAAACAATTGTAAAAGAATCCCTGCGGATTATGCTCCGCTAGTTGTTGCCGACTATAGGGGGCAGTCTTCATCTCCATTTCGAGGCCATCAAGCCAACGCTGTCCAAAGACATTTCCACGGTCATATGGCCAGCATGACATCATGGAGTGCTGTTAACTTCTCAATGAAGTGGTATCATCCCAGCAATGAAAGGCAGTTTAAATCTTTCCACTCAGCAGACCCAGGTGAGGCTTTGCCTGCTCAGACCGTTGCTAATAATGAAACCCTGAGCTTGCTTGCAGAGTCAACATCTTGCATTCTACTTTGATGAACTCTTAGGCTTTGTATTGCTTCTTGGAGCTTGGCTAGCAGGAAATCACATTTCTGGCTCTTTGAAGACCTCCATCCCAAGATTTCAATGTTAGACAAAAGGGGATCCAACACTTCTCTTCATCTGCAGCAAGTATTATCAACCAGTATCGGAGGAGGCATAGAACATCAGAAATGAGGTCAGAATTAAGCTCTGTTCCCGATTCTATCGAGAGAGCAGCATTAGAAATGCATCAAAGCAATCCCCAAATGACTCAAATATGTGAAGGGAGATTGAATGAGTTGAGAACAAGGAGAAAGTCAAGGAACTTGTGTGTCAGTTTTGTTGATGGGACCCTCCAAGTGAGTCAGAGGTTGAAAAAACAAGAATGTATGTGGTGGTGCAAGCCAAAATGAATGGCAAGAATAGGGAAAAGGGCAGTGAATGATATTTGATTTTCTTTCCTTTTACCCTGTTCTATCTTCCTTGCCTTACTGCTATCTCTCTTTTTGTGCACATTTTGAAGTATGGCTCAACTCCAAAGGGAATATCATATAGGGTATACCTGACTGTACAAGGTGTATGTTTATAATCTCACAACTGAAACCAATTCAGAACAGGGTAGAGCTTCTTGAAACTGATGCTAACGACTTGGAAACGATTCCCATTCCCTCAACATACTTAACCTCATAAACTATGAGTCAGCTGAGATTGCCTTATGGGCAATTGTGGCAGCACCTGAACTAGTTTGGGACTATAATTTCTATTTGTTTTCCCAAAGAAGTGACTAATATCCCTTGAGCCCTTGATCTAAGCGAGTATTGGCATGGCTTAATTTCCTCATTAGTCCCTTCTCATTGGTCAGGTGGGCAGCAGTTGCCACTACAGGTAGCCAATGTGTAAAACCTATGTTTATATTGCCAAGAGTGGGTACAAAAATGACCGCACTCAAGGTGTGCTGGGAGGTGGCTTTCAACACCTGGAAAGCCAACCTTGAAACAGAACTATGTGCAGATGAATTGAAATAGAAGGAGACAGGAAGATGTGCAGATATGAAGGAGCCCCTTTGTTGTTTGCCCCTATTATGATTGATTGTTATATGGAAGAGCACAAATTTTGTAAGGCAGGCAACTCACACCCAAGCCTATTATGGTTTTTTGACTGAGTTCTTTCTCTCCTTCTGGTGGCTGGAACCTAAATTCTCTCAGCAGGCTGGTGAACACAATGAAAATCTCAATCTTTGCAAGGAGTTCCCCCAGACAGACCCGAGCTCCTGCAGAGAAAATAAAAGTAAGAAATCAGTAGTAACCCAATCTTTGCTAGGAGTTCCCCAACAAACATGAGCTCCTGCACAGAAAATACACGAAAGGTGGGAATCAGTAATAATTTGTTCCTTCTGTTCTTTAAAAAGGGAAAAAATGCCTCAAGTGTAGATAAGAAATAATTCAGCATATAGAAGCGGTAGAACTTAGTTTGTTGGAAGATTGGTGAGGAAGAATTGGATAACCTTTTACTTTAGGTGCATAGTAAATAGAACTTTATATTTCTATGTAATGGTAGTGTGCATAATAGAAAATTAGGTAAGTATTTATTTTAGTCACTAAAAGGTTTTTCTGAGATTATACTTTGTTCTGCCCTGTCATTGGCGTGGTGTAAGTTGATTTTCTCCTCAGTCTAAAAACCTTAAAATGGCTCTAAAATGGTCTCACCTTCACCTGATATAAACAAATATTCTTTAATGTTCATGGTCTTATTTTTGGCAGAACTAAACAAAGCATTCTAAGCACAAGATAAGATGAACTTTTCTTGTCTCAACTCCAGGGACAAGAGAACATCAAAAACAGGTGTGAGTAATGGTGGTTCAGAGATTATATAACTCCTTTTTCACAACTCTGCAGTCCTTATATGGCAGTGGTTCTCAACCTCTGGGTCAGGACCCCATTTGGGGTCGAACGACCATTTCACGGGGGTCGTCAAACTCCGCCATTTTTCCCCCTTTTCCTTAGCTGTGCTACTCCCTTTTATTCTATTGGCTTTTGAAGGCCAATAGAATAGACTCTCTTTATTCGAATAGAGTCTAATTCTATTGGCTTTCAAAAGCCAATAGGAATTGTCCAGGCTGTTTCTGCCCTGCTGAGCCCGCCAAAAGTCCCATTCTGCAAACGGTGCTGCACCAGTTGAGTAGTCCTCGACTTACGACCGGTTGAGTAGTCCCCGACTTACGACCGGTTGAGTAGTCCTCGACTTACGACCGGGTGGGGGTCGTGGCATTAAAAAGGTTGAGAACCACTGTTATATGTGGTAGAGTTGAGGCAACTGGATGGAGTTGAGCATTTACAGGCCAGATGCCCTTCCTGACACCTACGGGGAGTTTGCAGCAGATATTTTTTCTTTGCTCCCCAGGAGAAAAACATCTTCCTCTACCTAGGATTGAATTCTAAATCTTCTAAGTGAGAGCTCACAATATTCATCAGTAGCCACCATGCTACTTGTTCAGAGATTATATAACCTAATTTAAAAAAAAATCCCATGGGGTGAAACTTTAATGCAGACTTAACTGGCAGTCTGCCGCATATATGCTGACTTTAAAGGGGTCTGTCTGCCACCATTTCTTTGAAGTTCTCTGACTATCAGAAGGGGTATAAGATTGTTCTTTATATTACCGTATTCTCAAACATTAATTGATCACAAGTTCTATTGTATTTCTTAATATTCTTCAGTGCTCTTTGATTTCTGTCTCAGGTTATGGTATGTTATTTTCTTATATTGCCTTGAAATAATGCCTTATCGACTCATATTGGTGTGGTCACTACTTCTGAATTCAAATGACCCAACCTTGCTGAGTTGGGGAAAGAGCATTACAGAGGTCTGACACATTTTGGAATGTGTTTTATCATTTATGATTTCTAATTGAAATATTTTGGTTAACTAAGTTTTAGTTAACATTTCAGTCTGGAGTCCCTACAACAAAAGTGGTTAGAATCACCTCTATTTATTATTGAACGCCTGAAGTTAATATCAGGTAGGGAGAGTGAATCCCTTTTAGAATTTTTATGCTACACTAATCTTCATTGCCATTGACCCAGTTACCTGCTCTGGGAAAAACAATCTTAACTGTATCTATCATTTTTTCAAATCCCCAGGTGACATGGAATATTTTTTTTTCTTTCCTTTTTAAACCCAGTCCCAACTCTAGCTAAATATTACCTGCTCCAAAGGGAAGAAATGCATCTTTGGGCACAAAATTTCCTTCCTTGTCCAAAAAATGATTGGGGTTGAACTCGTTGGGTGTCTCCCAAAGTTCAGGATCAAAGAGAACAGAACGCAGGTCTGGGGTGAGAATGGCTCCCTATAAAAAAAGAAGAAAATGACTGGTGATTTTTTTTTTCATTCTGAATGCGGTAACATTCCTCCAAATGAGATGATAGACAATTTGAAGGTTATCAATTCACAATTCCTACCTGAAGAACCAGTGATATCTGTGGCCAATTACATACATTCCTAGATGAGGAAGCTTTGGTGATGGCCATTCACACTTCCCTTTGTCATACCCCATTTGGATTTTGCAATATATCCTGTGTGATGCTGCGCCCGAACACTAATAAGTTGCAGCTAGTCCAGAATACAGTGGCACAAACAATTTTAGGAGCATCACGATATGCCCGTGTTATAATACTGCTCCACGAATTGCTCTGGCTACCGATAGGAATCTGGGTGCAATTCAAGATTTTTGAATACACAGCACAAGTTATGTCTGCTGATTTAACTATATCTGGTGGGTGCTGGGTGCTTTCAATGAAACACTGTGGGGCCAGAATACATGCCTTCTCTATTGTGGGGCTTGGAACAGCTTTACATCCAAGATTCAGATGCCCCCGATGCCATTACCCCTTAAAAAGGTCTTAAAGTCCTGGGTCATTGAGGCAAGAATATTAAGTAAGTCTGACCTGTGAAATTTGAGTAAGAAATGTAAATTTGTAATACTTTTGGTGCCCAGTATGTTATCTGTTGTTTTACTCCTGCACCTGAACATTTGTAAGATGCAATTGGTCCAGAATACACTGGCAAAAACTGTTTTAGGGGCACCATGTTATGCCCATGTTATATATAACATTGCTCCATGAGCCATCATATGCTCAAGCTTCACATTTGCTAGCTGTCAGTCTGCCATGAACTATGGGGGGGGGGATCCAGATAGGAGGGGCGAAAACTACCTATTCATTGTACCAGACAATCTATTGACATTCAAGTTATACTGGTGCGGGATTTGAACAAAAGTCGCTAATATCCAGTGCTGACATTTCAGGTCTTCTCAGCAATTCTCAAACTTCTGAATCCATATTTTGGATTTATAAGTTTTATGATATAGTACATTTTCTGACGATATAATAAATCAGAATCAGACCAATTTATTCTGCAGTAAGAACTTTTGACTTGGTAATAAAGTTTTGAGACTTGGGTAATAAAGTTTCTAGGGAAATATATAACAAATAGAGGTTTGTTTATTGTTCAAAATCCCTTAAGTATTTGAGGGGGAAAATGTGCCAAATTGAAGTAGGGAACAGCTGATTCTTTCAGTTAAAAATCACCTCGATGAGCCCAGAAGAAATCACATGATTGCTGAGGAAAAAGAAGGGGGGTGATTCAGGTTTTGGTGGGAAAATTTATGAGTGACTCTGTGAGGGAGTTGGCAGGAGTTCTGGAGGAGCATGCTAATTCAGGCAAGGTCGAAAATTATTTAGTTAGAATTACTTTGGGATTTTTTTTTGGGGGGGGGAGTATTTAAACTGTGTGTGGAAATGTATTTTCTTGGGCTACCTTTAAAAAAGTTGATTTTTGTTTAAATCCTGGAATTGACTGGTAGCCTTCTAGTGCATGTGTCAGTTTGAGCTACTGACTCTTCAAAATTTCTCTTCAGCTTCATAGAAATATAGAAAACAGACGGTAGAAAAAGACCTTTGAGGTTTTTTGTTTATTTATTATTTTAAAGATTGTTCTTAATAATTATTTTATTTTGTTTTTGTTATTTTTAATTTTAATTATTATTTATTATTTTTATATATTTTTTATTATTATTATTTTTGTCAGATGATGGGCATGGGTTTATCCCAATCACATTTAAACGTTCATGCTTTCCTTCTTTATTTAGTCAGCTCCAGGACAGATTGAGGATGTCCCTTTGGTCTTTCCACGTTTCCCCAGAGGGTTGATGGGGAAGGGAAAAACTGCTTTACAACAAAAAGGTTAAAATATATAAGGAATGGTTGCTGGAATTGGGTATGGAATTTAATGAAGAGAAGGACTAGAGGTGACATGATAGCAGTCTTCCAATATCTCAGGGGCTGCCACAAAGAAAAGGGAGTCAAGCTATTCTCCAAAGCACCTGAAGGCAGGGCAAGAAGCAATGGATGGAAACTAATCAAAGAGAGAAGCAACCTAGAACTTTGGAGAAATTTCCTGACTTTTCGAACATTTAATCAGTGGAACAACCTGCCTCCAGAAGTCGTGAATGTTCCAACACTGGAAGTTTTTATGAAGAGACTAGACAACCATTTGTCTGAAGTGGTATAGGGTTCTAACAGTCAGGAAATTTCTCCAACGTTCTAGGTAGAGGGTTGGAATAGAAGACTTCCAAGGTCCCTTCCAACTCTATTAATATTATTACTACTATTAAAAGATAGCAGCAGCAAAGAAGGCTAATTTCCAAGCCACTCTTCACCCTCAGATATGAGTTACCTCAGAACCAAAATACCTCAGAGAGATGGGCTGATTTGACCCTCTCTTCTTTATTATACAAGTAAATGTATTTGATTGGCTATTGTAAACTATATAATTCAGATTAATTATACTAACAGATGGTTGAAAATACCCAAGCATTTTATCTCAAAACCAAAAAATTTTTATTTGCTAGGTAGCCTATGGTCCTTCTCATGAAATGAGAAAAAAAATTCTTACATGAAGATGCAGCCCTCCAGAAATTCAGTAAGTTAAATACTTTACCTTGGGAATGAGAAAATTATCCACATAGACATCTTTCACACATTGTCTTGGTAAGCCAAATAATAAGATAAATTTGTTTCGCATGATCTCATGAATCACAGCATTGGTGTAGGGCACTTTCTTCCGATCTTGATAACAGATTGAGTGAGATGAACCCAAAGCTTCTTTTATTTCTTTGTGGACTTTATCTGTAAGAAAGGTAGTTTTATTGAATGCCTTGCAATTTGTCTTGGAAAATAAATGAGACAATATTGGGGAGAAGTTTTCCATCTAAAAAAAAATCATATGATTGGTATTTGAAAAACATGAATTGTAAATAATTTGCATGAAAATGGCAATGAAACAAATTAAAATAAATGCTATTTTTAGTGTTCTTTCCTTTGATGAAAGGAATTCACAAATGTTGCAAGAATGTCAAAAACATAAGCTTGTATAAGATATATCAATATGATAATAATCATAACAAAATTAAGATAGCAGGATTTGACGGAAAAAAATGAAACGAACAATTGCTAGTTATAGATAAAGGCAAAAAACCTGGAGCAGGTAAATTAATTTTGTGCATGTTAGTAGAATATTTACTATTTGTTTATATATGTATTTATGTAAACAATTTATATGGCTTTCCATCTCAAGAAATTAAATACAAGAAATTGTAGGCAAAACACAACAGATGAAATCAACTAACTAAAAAGAAATTGATTGATGGATTGTTTATGCACCATCAAGCTGATGGTGACTGTTGATGATCATATAAACAGATTTTATTCATGATGATCTATCCCTAACCTGGTCCATTAGGTCTTCCAATGAAACACCCATCACCAATGTAACTGAGTCCATCCACCTTACTGCTAGTCTTCCCCTTCTCTTTCCTTCCACCTTTCTCAGCATTAGACTGTCTCCAAAGAGCTAAATCAATGCATAATGTGTATAATAATTAAACCCTGGTCATTTGTGCCTCAAGTAAGAATGCTGGTTTAATTTATCCAATTATCCATTTGTTTCCTTTCTTGGCTGTCCATGGTATATTCAAGAGTCTTCTCCAAGTTCAAAATCAGCAATACTGTTGTGTGATCAGCATAGTTCAGGTTATTGTTATTTCTTCCTCCAATTTTAAAACCATGTCCTTCATCTTCCAACCTGGCTTCCCTTAATATACATTCTGCACATAGTTTGAATAAATAAATAAAGATTAAAAAAACTCATCTCATATTTTTGCCAGCCTGGACAGCATTATCTTCTGTCCATGCTTTGTTTTACTGACCTGTAATACTGTAGGTGTGCATAAGGACAATGAAATATTCTGGGATTCTGATTTTTCTAAGAACATACTGACTTTTTAAAAAAATATGTTTTATTGATTTTTTTAACATAATCACCTTAATATTTGGTAAACAGCCAAATATTTGGGTTTATATTTAAAAAACAATCAATAACAATTAGTTTCTATAATTTTATAGTCCACATAGTAGCTTTGCTTGATTTTCTCTTCTTCCAATAATATTCTTACAATTCTTACTATTTTGATAAATAACAATTAAATATAAACATTTTTCTAATATTTTTGCAAATAATAACCTCATTAGTATGAAGCTTCTTTTCTGACTGATCATCTTGATTGCCTCATCATAGATCCTGTTTACAAAATTCTTATTTAAATTTATTTTCCCCACAATATTCAAAATATTCTTACCCATTAAGATTTTCTGTTAATTACACCTAAGTATTTAAGTCTTTTTCCTCATACAGACCATCCCAACACTTTTACATTTCTCATATCTTAAAAAAAAAGAAGAAAAAGAAATAAAAAGATAGTATACTACTTAAAATAATAATAATAACAACAATAATAATAGCAGTAGTAGTAGTAGTAGTAGTAGTAGTAGTAGTAGTAGTAGTAGTAAAGTTGGAAGGGACCTTGGAGGTCATCTAGTCCAACCCCCTGCTCAGGCAGGAAACCCCACACCATTTCGGACAAATGGCTGTCCAGTCTCTTCTTAAAAACTTCCAGTGTTGGAGCATTTACTGCTTCTGGAGGCAGGTTGTTCCACTGATTAATTGTTCTCACTGTCAGGAAGTTTCTCCTTAGTTCTAGGTTGTCCCTCTTAGGCTAATGTACATTTATATCTAGATTTTTTTTCTTCTTTTAAACCATATTCAAATATATGTTTAATCTTTAAATGTTCCAATTAATAAATCCAATTATCTAATATTTTAAGTCTGTTCAAAACATTTTTATCCACTGAAATTTTCTCAAGATCAATTACACTTAAGTATCTAAAATATTTCCTTTATATAAACCATCCCAACATTTTTATATTTCTTATGTCAAAAGAAAAAAAAAGAAAGAAAAAAAATACTATGTTACCTGAGGGGCTCATCTCTATTAAACTAAAATTCATTTATATCTTTAACCATATTCAAACAGATGTTTAATTTTTAAATATTCCCTCTGATAAATCCCATCATTTAATTTCTTAATTCTCACTTTAGCCTTTTTTTTGCCAAATATTTTTCCTGATCAATATGCTCCGCTGAATCAAAGAGTCTTCCCATAGTCTTGCTGTAGGCACCAAAAGCAAATCAAGTAAGATGTTTTTATGGGAAGGTTTCGCCCCTTCATATTAATTTGTCTCTTAAGTTCTTGTAGTTCTCCTGACAGCTCTGTAATCCATTTTGACAAATCTTTTTTCTTGTCCTCAGACTTATTTTGTGATTTTAGAGTATGTTATCTTTTCCATGTCTAATGTTTCCTGCAATTTTTTCCCACCTGGGTTATGTCATACTTCCTTCTATTTTTAGTTTCCATTTTTAAATCTCTTTCCTCTGGTTTATATTCAATTGTTTGTTTTATCTGCTCACTCTCTATTTTTATTTTCTTAGAGTTTTTTTGTTGTAAAGTTAAATTAGAGACATATTTTCAAAGTAATTTTTAATTTCCTCATGGTTTAAGATCATTGTTGTTTGAATTAGTTGCAACATAGCATACATCTCCTTCTGGAAAGTGTTTGTTTTTTCTTGGTATATTCTTTTTGCAGATCTCTGGTTTTCCATGATAGCCAAAAATCAAGGTTTTCCTTTCTCTGCAGACAGCTTTAGAGTCACAGTTGATAGATATTTGTAATCCAGAAAGGTCAATTTTTTTCTAAAGTTTATAATTCTCACTTTGTAGGTAGCCCAAAATATTTTCTTTTTTTTGTCACAGCTGTTCTCTGTTATTAAGACATTGAAGGTCACAAAAGCAAGTTATCTTTTCCTGGGCTTTGCCAGTTCCTGTGTTGGAGCAACTACTGTTGGTATATTTCTGTCCCCCATTTGTCGGGAGGCAGGTTTGTGTGCGTGTTTGTGTGTATATGTGTGTCTCCCCCTTGCAGCCCCCCATCCCAAACAGAGAAGATTGGAAGAAGGCTTTAACACATTCTGTGCTGCACAACAGGTGGAGGGGAGGAAAGAGTCTCCATATTCTATTCACACAGATGCTGGTAATGCTCTGTAAAAAATTGCATTGGTTTAACACACTTCTCCTTTAAGAAAAACATGTGGAGCAGCAGCAGCCCATCCCAGCCCCTGTGATCAACCATTGCCCATTGCATGCTGCCCCCGCAGCACCATTGCTTCTGCCTGCCACCCGATTGGCTGGAGGCTATTTGTCCCATGCAGCTGAAGGGCCAGGTCAATAGAGCTGAAATTGTTTGGCAGATGGCACTTTCACTTCATCGCCTTAATGAACCAGGAGATCACTGAACAACCACAACTGCAAGTCCCAGGATTGTGGCCACTGAACAAAATAGTCATATGGGCATCTTGCTTAATATTGCTTTGCACAATGACTAAGAATTTGGTCCCATTTGTGGTTGTAAGTCAAGGCTGTATTAGAAAGCAACTTAGTATGACAATATTGAAGTACTCTATAAACCCCATTTTACTGTCAGCAATGCAGTAATTTATCTCACCTTGAACATCCAGATGATTTGCCATTACCAGCAATGCCCATTTCAGAGAAGATGACGTTGTATCTGTCCCAGCAACAAAGAGGTCAAAAATGCAATGAGTCAATTGATCTTCATTATAGGTAGAATTGGGATGGTCCTTGCTCTGTGTTTTACAGTAAGCATGGCAAAATGGTATTTATAAACATGTATCTTTCATTGCTCATATTTTTCAAATTTTACTTCTCTAAAATGATTAAGACTGAATTTCATAGTGTCCATGAATACTCTTGTTTCCTTTTGGATATCAAAGATGCCTAATATTAGCTCTTCTACTTTCAATAGCTTCTTGTGTCATGGTTCTGATTAATGAAACACTTCAAAGAACTTTCAGGCATGTTTATCCTAAAGCCTTTATTACAGTGTTACAAATTGACGGCACATCATGGAGGTTTATGCCAGAATCTGTCTTCCTCTTGCTGGCATCTAACTTTTCTTGCTAAACCCCTCCCTTATCTTGCAGTCACGTCACATTATCCAATTAGTGTGAAGGTCAAAGGTTTTCTTCCTCTTTCTTTCCTGGACTTTTTACCCCCCCCCCCTCTAAGCTCTGTATTAACCCAATAAATACCAGACAGTTTTGCATATTGTCAGAGCAAGAATATACAGTATTTGCAGCGTTGACATCTTGTTATTTCTGGCTTCTTAGTTAGCAAGCCATATAGGACAAGTGCTCCTATCACATGATTGCTTACATTATTCCAGGACCTTGGAGAAGGAACTTGGTGAAAGGCTTAATTGTAAATAAGGCAGTGGATAAGATAAGATATAACCTTTATTGTCATTTTTTTACTGTGAGCCTTGCTTCGGATACCATGAAGCCTTCTCCCAGAAGGTAACAACAGGTCATGAAGAGGATGTGTATGGGAACATGAATTGTAGGTGGATCTACAAATGACACCCTCAGTAATACATAGGAAGGGTGATTGGTGGAATCTGCAGCTGGTGGGGAGAGGAGTTAAGATACTGACTAGCCTGGAATCTCTGAAGAGGAGGAAGTGATGGAGAACCCCAAAGTGCTTATTTGGTTGTGCTGTAGATAGTTCAGTTAGTCTGATGAGATTCTTGTGAACAGGTGAACAGCAATAAATATAATGCTGTGATCAATTATCAGCATCATTCTGATTTCTTGCACCTGACTAGTGCAATAATTTCCCATAAATCAATATTCCCATATAATGTAAATACTTACTTTTTCTATTTGAAACAAATAGAAATCAATAAAATCCTGTGGCTCATGCAGATTCTGATTTTCCTGATGATGTTTAACCTGCTTCCTTGAAAAAGAAATAATTCTCTCACATGCAGATTTGACAGTCTGGTGAGGACCTGGCAGATATTCCATGATATGTGGGAAAACTTCATAGAGCTACAGAAAAAAAAAAAAGAAATCTAGTTGCAACTCAGGCAGCTGTTTCATATAGATAGTGAGCCAACTCCTATGGATTACCACTTCAACCATATTTCCCTGAACCTAACTACATGGAATTTAGCCTTTTGGTAGATCTAGTCAATCCACAAGAGAAATCTATTGTCTTGTTTCTTAACAACAGATTATCGCATTCATCAGTTATGTACAATACATGTGCATGTAGCGTTACCTCCTCTGAGGCCGCAAGAAACCAGGCCCTCCCAGCCCCAGCCCCCTTTGTCAGACCCTGCAATGGGGTTCTCTAGGGGTTGATAAGATGTCTCTTCCAGCCAGAGCTCATGCAGAATTAGTAGGTATCAGGCTCTTATCGTCAAAGAGGGGATTCCAGGAATGGAAATAACCAGTCATCCAACAGCCCAAGGCCGGTATAACAGCAAGAATAAAAGATTCCTCAGCAATCGTTCAGAGTCAAGTGGGATGGAGGAAGACCCCCGGCTCCAGATGGTAGTAGAAACAACAACAGTCAGTGTGTTGTAGCAATAGCTCATCCCCCAGGGCAACTCCCCCCCACAATGTCTTAAAACCTGTACCAGCAGCAATAGTCACAGTCCAAATAGCCTCCAGGCTTCGCAGCAGCAGTAGCCACCACCAGTCTCTCCTCTCCTTCTGTTGCTTCTCCTTCAGTCGGGTTTCAGCATCAAAGGCCTCTCCCCCTCCTTTATCTTTATTGTTAAAATCTGAGGCTAGGAGCCTCTGCCAACTCCTCTCTATGCAATCTCTCTCTTGCCTCCGTTAGAGATATCCTCCTTATGAAGGAAGCAGTAAAACTCCTCTCTCTCTCTCCCTCTAGCCTCTGTGTAAGGACCCACCCCACTTTGCAGCTTAAGAGGACAGAACTCTTGGAATAATTCTTCCAACAGGAATCCTTTATTAAGAGAAAATGGTTGCAGGCATTCTAGATAGGACTTGGGGTCCAAGCTCTCCCATTCAAGGTTTTAAGGGGTTCCCCAGTAGCCCCACCCAATCACCCCCTTACATCCAGCGACAGTCTCAGGCATTACATTCCCACCCCCTTTTTCCTTACTGCCGGCTGGATGGAGACCTCAGAGAAAACTACATGAAAGGTAATAGCCCCCTTTGTTATGATTAGGCCTTTTTGGTGCTATCCACATTCAGTCTCTTTGAAGTTTACTGAAGGAAGTGAGAGCCATAAAGCCCCTTTGTTCACCCCCTTCCCTTCATTGTATGACAGAATCCAGAGAAGGCAGAAATGGGGTTTTCTATAATTGATAACTAGAGATGAAATATAATTGGATTCTGACACTCTGTTTAAAATATCCTCGTTACGAGGAAAACAAATAAAACTTCCAGTCCCTTTACCTTCACCTGACGAACTGCAACAAGCCACCCTGCCCTTTCCTTTTCTTCCCTTTTCTATCTTTTCTTCCGCCCATGCTGGCCGCACCCAAAGCCAGCAGCAGCTGTCCCAATCTCTCCCTTCCCAACCAAACTCCTGCAAACACTCTCAGACAGCTTCGCTACATGTACATACTCATGTATGTTGAAATTACACAACTCAGCATTCGGTTTATAGCCCTGACACATTTGGATGGCATCTCCCTGGAGAAAACATTGCCACATGCACACTAGTTTCTTCTGTCAACAATCCTCATGCTGATACATTCTTTCTCATTATCTCCTTTAGTGCAAAACATCCAACTTTTAGCTTAAAGATTAACTAATTTGACAGTGTGCAACGTTTATATTGCATTGAAATTAAAAAATGAATAAGAAAAAGTTGTGAATGCGAATTTCTGTTAATATGGTAAATTATGAATTGACTAATTAGGCTGGGAAGGGAAAAGTCAGAACAGCAGCAAAAGTATTAATACTCACAGCATGACATACGCTGCCGGCAAATTTTAAAATAATCCTGATTGCTTCTATCAACTCCAGGAACTCCTTGTCATCAGTGGAAAACCTATATCCAAAAGCTGCAGCACAGATAGTGTTGCAGAATGAATTTGTGATGGGTATTGCTGGATCAAACGCCTGTCCTGAAAATGAAAGTATCACTATTAGTTTTCATATTAATCCTGTAAATACCCAAAAAAACCCAGATGCTCTGACTGAGCTTGCTTGAAATAAACAAAAAAACCTGTAGTTATTACTTAATGTCTATTATATAGCCTAACTGTATAGTAGATAATAAATATTATATAGCCTAAGTGTTGAGAATGCAGCTTTAATACATTGCAGCAAAACTTGCAAATTTGGAAAAAACTTTGAATAATATCTCCATCAGAAATTCCTTGGCTGTCAATAAGCTTTTTTCAAGAATATTCAGGATTACCTCTTGTTTTGGTTTATCTTTTATGTGCTTGAAGGAGTGATATATCTTAAAAACAGAATATTTAATTATTATTTTTGGACACACTGCTTCTGAACTGAATGCATCTGATCATGAGAGAATATTTTAAGCATCTATAGAACACAGTGCTAGATGAACAACCATAATTTTTCTGGACATAAGGATACATTTGGAATAAGAAAGTGTGTTCTGGACTACACTTAAATAACCATTACATCACAAAACTGTCAGGTTTAAAATATTGGAATCATCTCTTCTAACATGCTTTCTATATTTGTGTTGTTGTTAACTGCGAAGTCGTGTCCAACCCATCGCGACCCCATGGACAACGTTCCTCCAGGTCTTCCTGTCCTCTACCATCTTCTGGAGTCCATTTAAATTCACACCTACTGCTTCAGTGACTCCATCCAGCCATCTCATTCTCTGTCGTCCCCTTCTTCTATTCTATATTTGTATGCACATATAAATTTAAATATTATGATGGAGAGATTAGCATAACACTTATAAATTGAACTGGATAATTTATGTTTCAGCATGTTGCGTGAAACATCAGGTTCATTTATATATTTGAGTGGTATTTTCTTTTTCTTGACTGTGAGAGGGACCTTGGAGTCCTAGTGGACGATCACTTGACCATGAGCCAGCAGTGTGCAGCAGCCACTAAAAAAGCTAATACAATCCTGGGTTGTATAAACAGAGGCATAGAATCAAGATCACACGAAGTATTATTACCACTTTATAAAGTCCTAGTAAGATCACACCTGGAATACTGCAGCCAAAAGATGTTGAGAGTTTGGAAAAAATTCAGAGAAGAGCAACTAAGATGATCAAAAACCTGGAGACCAAAACATACAAAAATGGCTGCGGAACTTGGATTTTGCCAGTCTAAAGAAAATAAGAAATAGGGGACATATGATAGCACTGTTCCAGTATCTGAGGGGCTGCCACAAGGCAGAGGGGGCCAGGTTATTCACCAAAGCACCAGAGGGCAGGACAAGAAGCAATGGTTGGAAACTGACCAAAGGGAGAAGCAACCTGGAATTAAGGAGAAACTTCCTGACAGTGAGGACAGTTAACCAGTGGAACAGATTGCCACCAGAAATCATGGGCGCTCCATCCCGGGAGATTTTTAAGAAGAGACTAGACAGTCACTTGTCTGAGATGGTATAGGTTCTCCTGCTTGAGCAGGGGGATGGACTGGAAGACCTCCAAGGTTCTATTCTATTCTATTCTATTCTATTCTATTCTATTCTATTCTATTCTATTCTATTCTATCCTATCCTATCCTATCCTAGTCTAGTCTAGTCTTTCCCCTCCTCTCTCTCTTTTTGTTTCTTCTCCATCTGTCCCAAATCCTTTGACAAGCCTTGTTATTTCTTTTGCAACCAATAATTTCATAAATGTTACAAGATTTCACGGCTTTACTAGTTCTCAAAATATTACATTACATCCGCTGATGGAAGCTATTTCTTTCCTCAAAATATCAGTCTATGAAACAGGAAAGTTGGAAGGCTTAGGAACACCATAGAAGGTGCTGAGCATAGTCATAAATGAACAGTGACAGAACATTGGAAGATTTTTGCAGATGAGATTCAAACCACCATCACCTCAAATGATCACTTACCCTTTGTACTTGCAAAGAATTCCACCAGGTGCTGAGCCTCCTCTTGGATTTGAGTTTCCAAACCCCTTTTCCCTAATCCCAGCTTCCTCATGGTAATAACACTAAAGCGTCTTTGTTGCATCCAGACATGACCATGTGAGAAGCCAATACCTGAAGCCACCAAAGAAAAATCAGAAATCATTGCTCATTAAAATTAATAGGAAGGTATTAGGGTTGATACCCTAGAAAATACTTTAAATCAAACCCTGTTTGTTGGCCCTATTGGTTTTGAATGGTACAGTATAACAAGGGAGAACATAGTAATATCCTACATCTTTGACCATGGCTTACCTCTGTTTTTGGTAAGAACTGAAAGAAAAGGTGTGTGTGGACGATCAACAAAGGCTTGCGAATTGTCAATCAATCCTTCTTTCACAGCTTTGTATCCCGTGAGGATTACAGCATGTTGATTCCCTATCCATAGAGAATAAATGTTCCCATATTGTTTTGCCAGCTGCAGTTTGGAAAAAAGATAAAAGTCTTATATTATTCTAACAAAGTTTAAGCTTAATAGTAAACCTTCCACTCTGCTCATCTTCCTTTCCTTCTCTTACATCAAAGCTTGGGAAACTTCAGTCCATGGCCCAGTGTGACTCCCAACATTGGTGCTGGATTTTGAAATAGCTAGCGAGACTACAACTTAACAGTTTAGAAATACACTATGCTTCTGAATACTGAATGATTGAATTTCAATTTTTATAGAAGAGGATAGAAAAAAATCAAAATAAGTATCTCCTGAGCGCAGGTGGTTTCTGTTGTGATGATAAACTTAGGGTTAAGACAGAAAGTTTAATTTAGGAGGGAAGCATTCCGATTGGTTGGAGGAGGACTTGGATACAGTGGACTATATGATGCCCAGACCATTGCCTGAAGCACAGAGGGTTCTAAACTATTCATGACTGCAGCTGTCATAAAATGTGCCAAACTCAATAAAATCAATGAGTTGGAAGAGATTTGGAGACCTCCCAGTCCAACTCTAATGCTGATTTTGTGGAAAGCATTTGAAGCTCGGAAGAAACACAACCTTAATAATAATAATAGTAGTAGTAAAGTTGGAAGGGACCTTGGAGGTCATCGAGTCCAACCCCCTGTTCAAGCAGGAAACCCTACACCATTTCGAACAAATGGCTGTCCAGTCTCTTTTTAAAAACTTCCAGTGTTGGAGCATTTACTGCTTCTGGAGGCAAGGAGTTCCACTGATTAATTGTTCTCACTGTCAGGAAGTTTCTCCTTAGTTCTAGGTTGCTTTTCTCCTTGATTAGGTTCCACCTGTTGCTTCTTGTCCTGCCTTCAGGTGCTTTGGAAAATAGCTTGAATTCCCTCTTCTTTATGGCAGCCCCTCAGCTACCTTGGCATGAGCTACTTCACTAGACATAGCAGGTATGAAGAACATCAAGGACAAGGTCTTGCAAAGCCATAGCAATAAAAGCAATGTCCCTCTAGTACAGGGGTGTCAAACTCACAATGTCACATAATGTCTTGTGACTTATCACAACTTTTTTTCCATTGCTAGCAATGGGGTGGGCGCGGTTTCGGCATGACGCATCCGGCCGGTGTGCTGGCTGTTTGACACCCCTGTATGGTTTTGATATTTCAGTTACTTTGTTATCACCATGCTGGTGTGAATCTTTCATGCAAAATTGTTGCAAACTGCACAAGGGTTATTGTATGATATTAAGGACTTCTGGATAGAACCTGCAAAAATGTCCCATTCTTTGAGACAACATGAAACCACAAACAGTTCTTTTTTGAAGAAAGAACTCTCTTGCCTGAAGATGTCCTGGTATACATTTGGAAAATCAACAGTGAGTGGCAAAAATAAATTTTCAGCTTGACTATGAAAAGATAATCACAAACAGCATAAATATATTTATATAGACCCTTCTCTTCATACCAACACTCCTGGAGAACATTTGGGGAAAATAGAAATTTTTTTCTCCGCAATGTCTCTCAGACTTTTTAGCTCTCTACTTAAATACGTTTGCTGCGTTCTTCTCAGTTATTGTCCCACCAATATTAGAAAAAGTGATTCAGGCAAAACTCTAGTCAATAAGGTAATATGTGGCTCAAGGCTCTGTTAATAGGTCTGTGTATGTGTGTTTTTTAATTTTACTGTAGTTGTTCTCAGTTGCCTCAAGTGCCTGAGTGACACTTTTTGGCTGAAAAGTTCTGTGCATGTATCAATAAAATAAAAAAAGAACTGACAAGGATATGAAGATAATGCTTCTGGACTGCACAGAGCCTATTTATTCCAAGACTTAGATCTAGGATTTCAGCTGAGATGGGTATAAAGAGACACCAGAAGCTGAAGCTGCTTCCATTTATCTCCTAGAAGCAACCCTTGGTAGCCCATCTTACCTCCTAAAAAAAGTTGGTGTACCATTGAGATCCCCTCATTTCTTATTTATTTATTTAATCGCATTTGTATAGTTGCTCATCTCACACAATGACTCTGGGCAGTGTGTTAGAGTGTGCACAGTCTTATTGCGTGAGATAACCCTGGAGTAAATACAGTAAACAGTGGTCTATATTAAATGGTGGTTTATCTTACACTATCTACAATATCATATACCAGGAACAATATACATGTATGTGCTAATACATCAGGATCCAACAAACCACAATTACAGCAGGAAATGGAAGAAAAAAGAACACATCAGCAGAGCTTTCCCTTTATACAAATGCTCTTAAAGAAACACAGACCCTGCTGAGTCATTCCCATCATTACATTTTACATTGTTCTGGAACGTGGTGAACCTGACTAGAGCATGTATCTGTATGTTAGATATCTGGCATTTATTGGGTTAAGTGCTGTCTCCCTAAGAGATGGCTTATGGGTAATGTAGTTTTAGCTAGTCAGCTATAGATGTTAGTGGGAAGAGTTTCTAAAGGGCATCACAGGACTTCCTGGACACAAGCCAGAGGGGAATGTTCTTTGTCTGAAATAAGCATGAGCCATCGGAGGTCAGATGGCTCTGCTCCGTCCACTCCGTGTGAGAACTTGGTGTGGAGAAGCTAATAAATTTACCAAATGGAGATCCACAGATTGATTTGTCCAGACAGAATCTACCAATAGCAAGTATTATTTCTGATTGAATAAATATATATCTGTTCTGAAATCATCTTCATTTGAGTTAATCTGTCTGTGATTAAATTAGATTAGGGCATTCTGAATCATGATCAGAACATACATCTTACATTAGATAAGCTGGTTAGCTGTTAAATCATTACCTTGACACAGCGTACATAATAATAATAATCAATACATATATAAACTTTAAAACAATTCATTTAAATTTAAAAAATAAAAATAAGAGCAAGGTTTTTTTTATTTACCCTTAATCATGAAGTCTTTAATATTAACCAGAAGTTTAGAAATGTACCATTCATGGTGCTGGATAATAAGATTGCCCTTGTATACAAAAATGTACCTATTTTCTGAGATCTTTTTTGTAAAAAGTTCAGACCCACTCTCTCCTCCTCCCTCCCTCTTTCCCTCTTTCTCATATACACCTACCAATGCCCATAACACGTCTTTAAGCAAATAACCATGCTCAGACAACACCAAAGACTGCACAGTTTCACTCTGGGCTACCCATAGTCTTTTCTATTTGAATCTTTGCAGTCTCTACAAGATTAGAAACAGCACAGAATGTAGTTAAAAAGATGCCAAGAAATAGCTCATCAAAGGCAAAAAAACATAGGAATTACTTCTTTGCAACATGTTGCATCAGGGGTCCCCAGCCTCTGGTTGCAGACCAGTACCAATCTGCAGCCCTTTGGGAGCCACCTGAGAAACTCCATCTGTGCAAGCAGCAGGTGCACAGGTGAAACCATCACCTCCCTGCAACTGCCACCACTGCTGCCAGTCCATGGAACTGGGAAGGTTGGGGACCACGGTGCTGCATAATCCTGTCTTTCCTATCATAATTCTCTTATGTATCAAGAAAAACATATAAATCAACTGGGTTGGTTTGGTTTGAAGCTGTAGTTCACTGCAAAAATTTCTCTGATTATTTGTAACCTGAGCTGAAGATTGCAATGTCATATTTAATAATTATTTAACAAAGCCATTTAAAATGATGTTTCTAGAATAGACAATTGCAATGCAACTTTAACATAGTTTCTGAGTATGATAATGATGACCTGAGTCACTTATACGACATGATTAACTAGCTCCAGTAAAGGCATAGAACAGGCATGTCAAACGGGCTGGATGCATCACACTGAAACTGGGGTGTCGCACGATGTCACGAGTTTGACATGCCTGGCATAGAAGATTCATTTGTACAACCTCTGAGATTGTTATCTTTGGGTAATGTTTTTGTAGTGACTTATGTTGTGCAAATTCAATCCGGGTGGTTGTTTTTATCATTCAATGTGGAAGTCTCTGTTATACTCTTGGTATTCCTGGGATGCCTCCAAGCCAAGTATTAAGTAAGGTTAATATAGTTTACTGAGTCAGATGAGAACATACATTCTGCTACTTATTGAGCTGAGGTAGCACTCATGACCCAAAGAAAAATAAGTCCCACTGAGTTTCTTAAGGATGGTTTCCACATAATAGTGGCAGCCTAAGTGAGAATTTGAATTCATACATTACATTAAATCATAATGCAATGCATTGCACTTGGGATAGCCCATTAAGCAAAGACTGCTGTTTCTATAGTTATTCAGTAAAACACTAAAACAAATAAGGGCTTAATGCAATATATGAGCCTAGTTAGTTTAGGATCTCTGAAGTTTATACTGTGAAAGTAAGCAAAGCTATGCTTACCATAGATATACCATCGTTTCCCACTGCTTCCTTCTAGATGGGTTGGGACTACCATTTTCAGAATTCCTGAATAACACGGATGAAGAATTTTTTCGACTATATTTCTGAATTCTTGGGAAACTACCAGATTAGATAGCTTGCCAGTAAGACGTGGAAAAAAGAAAAAGTTAAACAAACAGTTCCCCATTAGCCATGCTCAGCTCCAAATATCATGTCCAATTGTGGACCTAATACTTTGAGAAGGATTCATGCAAGAGGTTCAGAGAAGGACAGTGGGGATGGTAATAAGGCCATGAATTAAGGGCAAATCCACATTGCCTTGTTATATTAGGTAAAAAAAGCCCACTACCCATTTACTAAACACAGTTCTGCCTGTATCTTTTTGTTTCTCAGTGTCCTCTCTCAGCTGAGATAGCCTAAGACAACTTAAGGTGTCACATTCTTATGTTTTCCCTAATGTGCCAACTCAGGATACTCTGTGCAAGCAATGGGGGTATTGATGTGCATCAAGGTGGTGGCCTAACATGATGTACTCCACGGTAGCAATATTGTAGCTCCCAGTACAGTCCCAGTACAGAAATGAAGAGCCTCCAAACACTGGTACAAAACTTACACAGCATAACTGGATTGCGCCAGGTTAGAAATATGTAACTGAGTATCTGCTAAAGAGATAGATT